AACCCACGACCATTAAAGTCCTGTCTACTATGATCTAAATGAAAGAAACCTATGTTAACGTTTGCAGCTTCACCAGTTCTTTGAACTGGCAACAGAAATCCTTGGCTGGAACTGTACAGATGCTTGACTTAAGCCAAGAATCTGGGGCTGGGTATGGCATGATTTCCTTTCTTTAGTTTTGAAGGGCAATATTCTTTTTGGGAGGCCCAAGTGGTCACCAGTGAGAGGAATTAGCCAAACACAGTCATTGTAGTTCATTAGGAGACATCAGGCAACAGGCGTCAGAGTATACTGAGCCCTGTGATTACAGGCGGGGCCTGTCCAGGCCTGGCATACGTGTGTGCCTCTCTCTGAGGTGGAGGAAAGGGAACATGGTATCTCCGATGAACACCTACATACACTGAAGACCTGACAAAAATTTCCTTCTAATAATTTTTATTATTCCAGTCTGAAACCTATAGACAAAATACCTTTGGTTTTGTTTATTCTAAATGAACCTATTTAACAGATAACATTAAGACTCTCTCATACTCACATGTGATTTACTGAACAAGAATATTACTCTGTGTACATATGTGTGTTTTGGGGGTGGGTGCATATCTTTGCACAATATATGTATGTACCCATATGTTTAACATACAGAATTAGAGAAATTAACTCAATCTGTGGGATGGAGACAAAGATAACACTGAAAAGTCATGGAAGGATCCCATCAACTTACTTTTAGTCATTATGTCTAACTAGCAGTAACATCTCCCTGAGTGTGAGCAAAGAAAACTAAAATAGAAAGCCACAATGGGGGGAAAAACCCCAGCATATGTGAAATTAGAGAATTGTGGAGGTATCCTCCTCCTCCTCCTCCTCCTGATATCACCCTACCATTTTATTTTATCCATGTCTTTGTGGTGTTTTGAACACATTTGAAAAGCAAATTTCATTCATTTTTATTATTTACTGCTTTCTTTGGACTGTAATGAACTAGAACCGGGAATACAATAAAACAGATCTTGTGCCTAATTTAAAACCCAATATGATGATCACAATTATTTTTCCCTGAACATTAAACTTAAGTGTAGAGACTTTTCTGTTCAGAAATTTTTTAGCCTTAACATATAATTATAAATGTGGCAAGCTTACAGCCATGCAGTTATATATTAAAATTTGTGGAAGGTACTAGGTAGGAAATATTAATAAAACAAATGGATATTTGAGTCTTCTAGATTCAGTTCATACCAAGTGAATGGCTATGTATGGATGTAATTTCTAATACACATTTATTTCTTCTGTATATAGATATTTCATAAGGTGCTTGAAATAATTCTGCCAGAAGACAAGATCAATAAGATTTCAATCCTTTTAATTGAGAAGGCTGCCAGGACAAACAAAATTACACTCATGAATGATGGACAGTGACTGATGGATTTAGATCCATGCAATTGGGGGGGGCAATATGCCTTATCTTTTTATTATGAAATATATCAAGCATACAAAAATGTAGAGAATACAGTAAGTACATGTGTACCTACCACTAAGCAGTGCCAAATCTTAAGATTGTGCTATGTTTGCTTTAACTCTTTTTTTAGAAACATAGCTTTTCGGGTTCCACCAAAGTCCCTTTCCCTGATTGCATCCCCTCCTTTTAGAGGAAAACACCACCCTAAGCTTGATATTTATTTTATGCATGTTTTATTTTATTTATTTATTTGTTTGTTTTTTGAGACAGAGTCTTGCTTTGTTGCCCAGGCTAGAGTGAGTGCCATGGCGTCAGCCTAGCTCACAGCAACCTCAAACTCCTGGGCTCAAGCAATCCTGCTGCCTCAGCCTCCCAAGTAGCTGGGACTATAGGCATGTGCCACCATGCCCGGCTAATTTTTTCTATATATATTAGTTGGCCAATTAATTTCTTTCTATTTATAGTAGAGACGGGGTCTTGCTCTTGCTCAGGCTGGTTTCAAACTCCTGACCTCGAGCAATCCGCCCGCCTCGGCCTCCCAGAGTGCTAGGATTACTGGCGTGAGCCACCGGCCCGGCCTTTATGCATGTTTTATACTTCTATTCACCTGAATATGTCCACATACATGACACCCTATATTATTTTGCATGGCAAAAATTTTATATTAAGTGTGTGAAAATTCAAATCTATGACTATTCCCTTAAAATTTGGGGAAAAAAATCAAAATAATGACCACAGGAATTATTATGAGTGATTTCTACTCTTCTAATTTTTTTTTTATTTTCCAATTTTTGAAAGCATAGTACTACTCTCATTTCCAAGCAAATAGTTTTATTAAAAAAAGGCGGGGGGCCCAGGAATGCTCGTTTTACAAAGAGCTCCCTTGGCATCTGAGAACCAAATGTAGAGTGTGAATTTCCAAATATTCACTGCTATTTGATTTAGATTTACAATTTTTTTTTTGAGACAGAGTCTCGCTTTGTTGCCCCAGGCTAGAGTGAGTGCCATGGCGTCAGCCTAGCTCACAGCAACCTCAAACTCCTGGGCTCAAGTGATCCTGCTGCCTCAGCCTCCCGAGTAGCTGCGACTATAGGCATGCGCCACCATGCCCGGATAATTTTTTCTATATATATCAGTTGGCCAATTAATTTCTTTCTATTTATAGTAGAGACAGGGGTCTCGCTCTTGCTCAGGCTGGTTTCAAACTCCTGACCTCGAGCAATCCGCCCGCCTCGGCCTCCCAGAGTGCTAGGATTACAGGCGTGAGCCACCGCGCCCGTCCTAGATTTACAATTAATTGAAGAGGTAGATTATAAACCAACCTATTGTTTCCTCCCATAGGCTTTGTAGTAAAGAAAGAGGAGATGTGGTGGTAACTTAATGAAAGACTGAGTGAAGGTTTATCAGGCATCCTCAAACTACAGCCCGCGGGCCCCATGCAGGTGTTGTTGGCCGTTTGTTTTTTTACTTCAAAATAAGATATGTGCAGTGTGCATAGGAATTTGTTCCTAGTTTTTTTAAAACTATAGTCTGGTCCTCCAATGATCTGAGGGACAGTGAACTGGCCCTCTGTTTAAAAAGTTTGAAGACCCCTGGTTTAAATTGAAGTTGGGGAGATGATGATGAACAAATGAAATTAAACCTTTAAGAAAATTAAGAAACGGCACATTTAAAGGTTCCACTTAGGGAAAAGTGAAATTACTAATAATTTTGGTAATATAGTTTGGTTAATACTTTCAGAAGACTCTCCTCATTTGTCAAGTCTTGGGATGGGCGGGGAAGGGGTTAGCTGAATCATTTAATTTCAGTATATTCTATTGGACAAACTAGGAAAACTCCTGGCAAGATGAATGGAAGGGCAGAACTTCTGTCTGTTTCATTGTAATCTTTTATGTATTAGTGCATAAAGCATTTTTCTTATTTCCAATATTAAACATTTGAAAAAAAAAACTAGTTAAGTGGAATACAAAGGAGTTAATTTCTTAATCTCCATTTTTGAAGCAATAAATAAAACTTTTTCTTCAGAGGGTTCATTTCAGGCCCACAAATTCATCTGACATCAGGGACTGGGCATTTATGTTTATTTTACATAAATGAAAATTAAAAATAATTTTGTTGTTGTAAACAAGCCTGTGGGCTGAATTTGGCCTGTGGGTCACTAATTCCTGACCTCTGAAATTTTTAATGATGTTTTTATTGATACAATTCACATACCATAAAATGCACCCCTTTCAAATGTACAAGTGTGGTTTTGAGTATATTCACAAAGTTGTGCAACCATCACATCTAATTTCAGAACATTTTTATCACCCCAAATGCAACCTGCTACCCATTAGCAGTCACTTCCCATTTATCCTTCCCCCAGCAATCACTAATCTTTCTCTGTCCCAATGAATTTGTCTACTGTAGACATTTCATAAAAATGGAATCATACAATGTGTGGGGTTTTCTCTGGTTTCCTTCACTTTGCATAATATTTTCAAGGTTCATTCATGTAGTATGTAGCAGTACTTATTTTTATGGCTGAATAATATTCCATTGTATGGATATACCACTTTTGTTTATCCATCTATCGAGAGACATTTGAGTTTCCCCTTTTTGGCTACTATGAATGATACTCTATGAATATTCATGTACAGTGACTTCTGGATTTAAGTTCAAAAATTTAAAATTTGTTTTGTAAATAGTTAATACATTAACATGATTCAATATTGTACATACCATCAATTAAGATGGTTCTAATATATATGTAGTGAAAAGTTTTTTCCAACTCCTACCTCCCACATGCCTGATTATCACCGCTTTCTGTCCCAGTATGTGAGCACTACTAACAGCTTCTTAAGTGTCCTTCCAGCATAGGGAAACATTCTCTAGTTTCTCTCTCTCTCTCTCTGTCGCTTTCTCTTTAATATAAGGGTAATACACTTACTTGCTTTTTCACTTACCCTGAATATGTTTTCATACGTTTCTAGACAGTATCTCATTCTTTTCTAAAGCAACGCATTTTTTATTGTATGGCTGTACCATAGTTTATTTAAACAGTCTCCATCTGATAAATGTTTTGGTGATGATTGAAATGATGGTATTTATGAAATTTACTTGTAAACTAGTCATACAGTAATAAGCAACCAAGGAGATAAATACCATCAGGTTCAATACAGAGGAATAAAATAAGCTACTTAATTTTAATACTCAGCAGGAAAATTGAAAAAGGCCTGAGGTTGCCTTCTAAAGTAAAATATTGTCATCCTCTCAACTGTTATGCTGTCAGGTAGAACCAGTTATCTGAAATAGGATGAAACAGGCAATTAAAGATACTGGCCTAGTTGAGCAACTTGTTTTTTACCTATCTTCTGCTTCTTAAAATATTTATGTTTATAGTCCTCAAATTTAATTTAATGGGTCATTTCCATTAAATCTAATGACAGGGAAACCTCAGGGACTACTCGTAAGTTTTTTGTCTACAGTAGTTGGCATATCTGATATTTAATTATAAGGCCAGAATTAAGATATGTACCTATGAAATATAGACAAAGTAGCAATCAAATTGGTTTTAAAAGTCAGTTTCCTAATTGTTTATTATGTGAACTTATTATAAAAGTTGCTAGGATGCACTCCAGTTCACTTTTGTAAAAAAAAAAAAATAGTTGCTAGGTTGAGAGAGCAAAGAATCAAGTAAACTTCATTATTTAAATATCATTAGTTAAAACAAGCCATTAAGGGTTATAGTTAAAAGTAATTTTTGCACTCCTGTTTACTATTAGGTAAACAATACAGGATGAATACTATTTACTCCACTGTCAACGCTAATAGCTTTCATTCTTCGTTCCCACGATACAAAACAGCCATAAATATCCCAAAGAATTGGGCTTTGGGTAGTTCAAAAGAAACACACTAAAAATTCTAAAATATCATTACAGAAGATGCATTACTTATTTTATTGATTGGTTGGAGAACAAAAGATTGAGGTATTGGCTATTAAGTTGAGAGAACAATGGTATACTTGATTCCACCAACTATCCCAGGTAGAGAAGAACAGAAGCACAGAATGAAACCAGTGAAAGGAAGATCATGGTTAGCCATGCAAGATCCTATTGATAATGGCCATTGACCTTGCCAAGGTATTTTCTGGAAATGCTTAGATGGGACGGCGCAGTCTGTTCTAATAGAACGATTAAGGTGTTCATCATTCCAGAAACTACTTGGGCTGTTGGTTAATTTGTCAGCATGTGCCTGATCAAATACTAACAGCTGAGTTTCACATCTCCTGAAACAGATTTCTTAATTTAACTTTGACCTAAGTTCTAGTCTGTAAATCAGAAAGGCAAGTAAGAATGAGGGGTCAATTTATTTTAAGTAAATTTATCATTAAATATCAACATGTACAATTTCAAACATTTATAGACCTTGTATTTCATAGAAAAATTAATGTAATCTTAAAATTATTTGAACAGTGATTTTCACAATTATTTACAATGAACTCAACCTACCTTTGTAGAAACATAATTATGTTTAAAAGTACCCCTGCCACAAAGTGATCATTTCACAGTACCTTTCTATAATATTTATGTCACTTAAGTGGCAGCTGCATCAATAAAATCCAGCAGATTCAATAATTCAGAAATAGCACAATCAGAACAGTAATTAAAGCTACCATTAATTCCAAACAAAATAAAATATTTTATATTAACATATAAATATTTCCTCATTCAGCACTCACTGAAGAAAATAACTAGGAGCCAATCTTTTCTTAGTTATTTACCACAAAACAAATTAATTTTAAAATATTTTTAAAATTTACATTAAGAAATTAGATTAGGTGACTTCTTATAACATGTGACATTAAATATTTTGAGAAATTCTTGGTTTTACTGGAAGGCATTTCTAATGGTAAGCTTTTTTCAGTTGTAATATTATATTAAGTAGAGATAATTCAGTCATCCCAGATAGAAATTTCTTATTAAGAATTGATAAAATTTGAAATGAAAGAGATTCTTAATTCCTAATTTTTTTTCTACTTAGGTCTTTAACTTATTTGACATTTTCTCATTTCCTCAAAAGGATCCCAAATATGTCTATAATTAATTCAAAGGAAAAAGAACTTTATTTGGACTAGTGCTAAGATGTTTGAAAACAATATCTACTGTGGTATTCCACAATTTTTTTCTTTTTCTTTTTTTAGCTAAGACAGTTAAATAAAATTATAAGGTATAAGAAATATAGTTGAAGTCACAATAAAGTACATTTTCTTTTATTGACATAGAATATATACTTAAATTTTAAATGTTGGCTCTTTAAGAAAAAATTTCTCCTGGTAAATAATATGCATAACCATTGCCCAAAAATGTATACAGCTGTTTTATCCAAAATATTAATATACAAGGTAGTTCACTTAAGACTAACCCTGTTGTAACATACTGAATACAATGTGGTCTTAATTTATAAATGGGCTAACCGCAGTATATAAAATATATAGGTATGTATGTTATACATACAAAGTAAAAAATATAAAAAGGAAAGATGGAAACAAAAAAAGAAAGTGTCCTTTCCTATAAGATCCAGACAGAAAGTCATTATAGTGAGACTGTGTATAATGTTCGAAGAATTTCTGTTTTGGCAAATGTTTTTTTAGAAAAATATTCAAGCTATGAGAATACTAAAATTTCCATTTTAATAATTTAGTAGAGATTTCTACTTAAACATTCAGTGAAGATGTGGGCTTCTAATATGTAGAAAGGAAGACTTTTGGGAGTCTGTTTAAAAACAAACAAAAAGTCATTCATCTTTAACAGGTTGGTAGTAACCCCTTAAGCAAGTATGTGTAGTGCACAGAATCAAATCCTGGTCCAATAGCGTTTCAATATGTTTGATGAAAGAATCCAATGGACAGGATCTGAATTCCTCCTAGATCTTAGAGGGAATGGGGGAGGATGTTATGGCAAATGGAGGGGATCAGCCCCAAAAGTGGCCGGCCCAACCTTAACTGTCGATGTTAAAAAACACACCAAATGTTTCTATAGCATTCTTTCTGCTGCATTTTCTTTATTTCAAGCCACAGGTCTACTTGAAGGGTCATGCAGCAAGTGGCTTATAAATAAAATCAGAGTCTATGAATAGTGTCATCACATTAAGAAACAGAATTAATTGCAGGATCCTCTCGTTACATAAAAAGCTCGCATCTTGGGAATCCATGAGTTGGTATTATTTATGGAATACCTGAAATGGGGGACAAAAACCATATATGTCAATAATACATACATGCAATTCAGGAGTTAAAGCAATGAAGACTCTATTCAAACATTTATTGAGCTAGAAATTCCATATGATTTGTAAATAATGCCTCACAGCTAAAATGTAACAAATACAACTGGGCCAAGGCGGGTGGACCGTTTGAGCTCAGAGCTCAGGAGTTCGAGACCAGCCTGAGCAAGAGCGATACCCCGTCTCTATCAAAAATAGAAAAAATTAGCCGGGCATGGTGGCACATGCCTGTAGTCCCAGCTACTCGGGAGGCTGAGGCAGAGGGATTGCTTGATTCCAGGAGTTTGAGGTTGCTGTGAGCTAGGCTGATGCCACTGCACTCTAGCCCAGGCAACAGAGTGACACTCTGTCTCAAAAAAAAGAAAAAAAAAAGAAAAAAGATAATCTAATGTTGTGATGCCATAATTTTCATTGCATATTACAAATAACCCTAAATTGAAAATGCCAAGCTGAATAAGTGCTTGCCAAATTTCTACAAGCAGATGCTCTCCCGACATCAATAAAGTTTAAATTTTACATTTTTAACCCAGGTCATCATCATATTAATTAAGGGAGATGATTTAACTCTTTCCTTAATCATGAAGATTGTCTTTAAAAGCTTCATTTTCATAAAAACATATGAATTAAGAAATAAGTCATTTCCATTTTAAGCCAGTAATTTGAAAAAAATGGAGCTATCGTCACAGCAGCCTCCAAAAATGGCCATTATATTTAAATTAATACAGATTATGCAATGCATCTCATAACATGCTGAACCATTTGACTTTTCTAAGAATAGAAGTTAATGTTCAAAAATAATAATTTAGTTTTCATTTCAACTCCTATTTATTTAAGTAATAATTTTAAAAAATTCAGTTCATAAAATGTATTCTCTTTTAACTAAAATAGTAGTGACTATAAATATTCCCCAGTTTTAGAGTTTTACAGGAACTCTGCTAACATGCTCTGGCTTGAAACTCTTGCCAGAATTGAAATATTAAGACTTCTGTAGCAAATTTTCAGGAGTACGAAAAACAATTATATACATTTGAAAGCCAATTTAGTTAATGTCAAAATTATACTTTAACTTTTATCAGTCATTCTGAAAGTCTTTTCATTTAAACATTAGTACTTCCACTTTTGCTTATTTCTGTAGCTGAAAGTAAAATGTAGCCCCCTCAAAGAAATCATCACCCACAAAAGATAAAAAAGGTTAAGCAGAGTCATAGTCCTTAATTCTAACCACCCCCAAAGATTAATTGGTCTATCTAATTAGACCTTTAATTGATTTCCCAGGTTCCTAAACATAAAAAGAACGAAAAACACTGAACATTTTCTGCTGAATTATACACAAATACATTAATGCTAACTAATAAAATTGTCTGATTTAAAGAGTAACTAACCTGAGATGTACCTTGCTCCGATTAACATTACCATGCTACTCACTATAAAAAAGCCCAAGGGCAGACTACAGAAGATACTAGGGTCACCTGTGGTCATCCAAGCAGAAGAGAATTCCAGTCAAGCAAACCAAAAGAGAGACACATAATTACAATATTTGTGTTAAGAATCACAAGATAGCAAAACAAATCATAAAAATAGTATATTCATAAAAGCTAGCAAAGAGTTATTACTTCAAATCAAAAATATAATCAATATTTAAGGCTTATGACAGTTAACAAGCAATACAGATAGCATGCCACAAATAGCCAAGAACATGATACATATAGACCAACATTAACCTTCCATTGGCAATACCAAAGCGAGCCTATGGAGAACTTTTTTGGGAGGCTGTGCATTTTAGCTTTCTTGATTTTCCCCCAAAGATACTAAATGAGCAATTTAATTCCCCCAAAGTTCAAATTATTGGTCCTTTGGATATCAGAGAAGAGTTCTATCAGTCTACTGAAAATGAATTTTAAATCCTATTTTTGCTAAAATATCAGTTAAGTTTTATTTTTAAAATAGAATTTGGTGTGTAAGGAAATGCAGCTGACAATATCAGTTGTAATTGAAAAATTAAATTGTATTAGTATTAAATTAAATTGTATTACATTTAAAAATTACCTGAGAACATGATTATTTTGATATTTTCTAGCCTGAATTCTCTTGGAACCCTTCCTTTAAACATCATTCCTTTTCCAAATTTAAAAATTATATATCTAGAATATTTAAAATTCTTTAAAAGAGAAGTTTATTAAAAAATAATGTTCAAGAGTTAAGAAAATACAACTATTAGACAAAGGGGCTTCATTGAAGTATAGCTAGTTAAAGATTCTCTGCAGGCATATTTAGTTATATAGTAAACTGATGATAGTAATTTCTTTCCTTTTTTGAAAGAGGACTTTTTCACCTTACTATGCATTTCTTTCTCCTTAGAAAGTAGATTTTAATTTTTATTATTTTTTTAGAAGGTAGATTTTTATTAAACAGAGACATAAACCATTTCCTCAATTTTACCACTGTTTATGTTCTTTTTCAAATAAAAAAACAAGGTTTTGTTTTGTTTCTATATTTGTGGAGACCATATTTTAATTTGATTTTAGAAAAGGGGAATATATCTTCTAGTTCTTTTAGAGCAACCCGTTGCATATGCTAAGTTACAATGAGCAATTTTTCTGATGTCCCTACAGTGAGTTCTGGTTTGAGAAGATCCTGAGGATTATCTGCATTCAGGGGTCCTTATCAAGGACCCCTGAATGGCACCCCAGATGCCATCTAGGGTGGCATCTATTTAATGAAGGTATTTCCTTTTATATATATATGACATATATAATATACTTGTTATTTGATAGCTATATAACACATTTAAACCAATGTGACCTGTTTTCAAAATGTTTTGGTGGGTTTTGAGTTCAGAGCCAAAAAGGCATCATTTATGATGAGCTCTCTAAAAAGCATCAAAGTCCCAATCACTTCAAAACATCTTAAGCACATATCAAAGTATGTTAAAAAGTGTTTATAAGGTGTTCAAATATAGTTGCAAACAAGAAAATAAATATAAGATTGCTTCAAAATTGCCAAAGCACTTTGGAAATTAAGCAAACCTGACTCTTTACATAAATTAAAGCAATTTAAGGAGGCTAAGAAACAAGGTAGCCATTCTAATATCCTTTTTTTTTTTTTCTTTTTTTTTTTTTTTAAAGCCAGTCAAATTTAGCAGTGGGGGGTTGAATACCAACTTTAGTGACACTAATGTGAATAAGTTCTGATAACCCACTACCATCGGACCAGCCTCTAATATCCTTTTAAGTTTATTAAAATAGGTTTCTATCTGTATTGCAATTATAACTTATTGTATCATATAGTTATATCATATAGCTTATATTGCTTAAAGGAATATAATTAGCATTTTATTAATTGAATATTATTCTGAGTTTATTATACAGCTTAGAGACTCCCAAAATATTACACATTAAAGTGTTTTTCATAAATCTATTTAAAAAACATTTTCAAATTTTGGCTTAAATCCATTGCAGTCTAACTGAAACAAAACCAAAATTAAAGCAAAAAAAAAAAAAACTCTCAAAAAATCAAATTACTTTTATCATCAATGTTGATAAGCAGAAACTGAAGAAATGTGATTTTTTTTGTTTTCATTCATCAACTTTTTCTTGACATTTTAAATTCATTGATAGTAAGATACACAAAGAAAGAATGATCAGTTGATTTTGTGGGAATTTTGCAATTAAAATTATATCCTCAACTGCTAGTAAGGAGAACTTTGTGTGTGTATAGAAGGCATGGAAGTTGGGGGTGGGGAGAGAAATAGGATTGTGCCATTAAAAAAAAATCCAACTAGTAAAAATAATTATTCTACTTAACTTCTCAATGGCTAGTAATTAAGGGCAACTAGAAAAATCAGGGTTCACATCTGTTATCTCTCACACAGCAACTAGCATTGTAGCAACTAGCATTGTGCTAGAAAAGTGCTTATGATTGCGAAGTTTAATTGTAAGGGGTCTCTCAAAATTGCAGTCATAGCAAGAAAAACTTTGCCACTCTCTTGGGAAAGAAAGTTGAGTTTCAAAACAAAAAATTTAAAGAAAAAGGATATTACACTTATTTAGGAGAAAAAACCAAAAGCTTCAAGTAGGAACACTGTGGTAGTGGATGGTTACAAAAGCTTCTCCTAAAAGCCAGATATATGAAAAGTGGTTCTATTCTCACTTTGGGGCTGGAAGGCAAGTATTATTTCATTTATAATCTCTTTTCAATTAAAGTATATGCTTCAGTCTATTATTGGCCATTGTTTGAATCATTATGCTCCAAATCTTGCTTTTAGCAAAGAATTATAATATTATGTCATATTAAAGTCAGCTTAAGGTTGTTTACATCTAAATGGTTTACTTAAGCTGTATACCTTCGTATCTAAGTGATTGAAAGATAAAATAGCCCCGTATTTTTTTTTAATTTTTTTTTTTGGGCCAAGAGTATTTCCCAATCTATTATAACACTTCTAATTTACTATGTTTGGTATATTTCTTCCTCTTCGATTCCAAAGGAATTCCCATTATATACATTCCCTAAGTACTTGGAATCAGTCTAGGAAGTAACAGAATATACTCTGAAATTAATATAGCTTTCAGTTGGTTTAGGTCACAAAGACAGCCTCCCAAAAAGGTAAAGTACGATGAGAGAGAGGGAAAAAAGAAGACCCTAGTTGATTTTTTTTCATTGAGAAGAAATTAGAAATAATTTTACTTTTGGAAGATTAAGTTATCAATTGAAGTACCAGGAATAAACTAACAAGGAAAGATAAAGCAGGATAGTGTTAAAGTATGTACATCAATCTGATAATTTACATTTTCTGTTTAGAACTTTAAAGTGTCTTCAAAATGTTAGAAACTTTGGACATATGGTAATGCTTTTCTTCAGAGCAGCCTGGCTAAGTGTAAATGGCTAGATACTTAAATAATAAGCTATTTAACATGCTAAGAAAAAGTAGCAATAAACAAAAACATTTTTACCACTTTCTGGAGACTGAGTTGTAACCCAACCCATTGACTTCATCACAGCTTTCTTCCATGTAGAATAACGGATTTCACTTTCTAGAATTAGAAGGTAGGAAAAACATACATATGAAAGGTAGTCGGCTGAGATGTTCTAAGTACCATACCTATGATCACTCAGCATTCTTGACATATCGTTGCACAACGTTGAACTGAAGAGGGGCTTTACCAGGACTCAGATTTGGAAGCATGGGGTTGCTGGCAACTGCCAGTGACCAGAAGAGATGCTTGCTTGGAAGTTGGAGTGAAGGAGGACAGGAGAAATTTAGCAGGTTGAAGGGAGGTGGGGAGACAGGCCACCTGCTATACAGACCAGGCCACTCACAAGTGGTGGTGAATTAGAAAGCGGAATTCCCCAGCCTGAGCAAGAGCGAGACCCTGTCTCTACAAAAAAATAAAAAAAAAAAAAGAAAAGAAAAGAAAAGAAAAGAAAAGAAAAGAAGAAAGACAACTAAAAATATATAGAAAAAATTAGCCGGGCGTGGTGGCGCGTGCCTATAGTCCCAGCTACTCGGGAGGCTGAGGCAGGAGGATCGCTTGAGCCCAGGAGTTTGAGGTTGCTGTGGGCTAGGCTGATGCCACGGCACTCTAGCCCAGGTGACATACTCTGTCTCAAAAAATAATAAATAAATAAATAAATAAATAAATAAATAAGAAAGGGGAATCCCATTTGATCTGGTTTCTTTTTGGGGAGAGGTCAGAGCGGGGCTTGGCACGAGGGAAGGGGTATGCTATGATGTAGAAAGACTAAAGGGAGACTTGTTTTTAGTCCTGCCAGAGGACTCAACATAATATTGATTTCTCACAAAATTCAAATTGCATTCCTGTGAGATAGCTTTCCAACACCCCCAGACCCCCCTGCTCCCGGGAGCCTAGAAGTAGAATTTCTTCAAGGCGGAAATCCACAGCTGGACAACTAAACAAAAATAAGCATTGATGCTGTACTTCTCCTAAGGTTGCCAAATCACGAGTGGGGCTACCCTTCTCTCAAGCCTCCCAGCCTTTCCACAGCACCTGACGTCTGCAACACCCAGGAGATAAGGCTCAAGGATCACTGGCTTCAGAAAGCTCTCAAAGTGTCAGCTACCACAGTGAATTTTTATGGTCTTGCCTCCTTTTTCCAATACACTTGCGTCTTCTGAAGGAAGGGCAAGGACTTGGCCTTATTCATCTCTATATCCCCATGTCATAACAGTCTCTGGCCTGGAGTTGTCTCTAAACAACTGTTTGCTGGAAAAAGGAACTATCTATACCTAGGTGCCCATTAGCTGATGAGAGGGAGGACAACTGGCACAACTGATCAACTCCAGGCTAAGGCCTTCAACAACAGCAAAGATGGCTGTGCTCAGAAAACAGTCATCCTTACTCCTTAGCATAAAACTTCCTTGTTTTAAGAGCTGGATTCATTTGGGGGCCATATACCTGCTCTGAATGTTATTTGCTTATTAAAAAGTTGATTTTTTTTTCAAAAATAGAAAATTTTTTTGAATTCCCTATTTTATACAGTATTATAAAAATTAAAAATGATAGCATATCAAATTCTGAAACAATTTCTACATCAAGGTATGTGGTAATATGATATACTGTCTGACTATAAAATTACTAGTATTATAATTCATTTTCTTATATATGGAAAAGAATAAATAAAATTAAGAAATACTGGTGTAGTCTTCCAGAAAACTAAACAAAAATGCATTTGAAAGCTTATTTCCCAATAGCTCAAAATCCACTTTGATACTATTTTAGACAGGTTTCTAAAAAGTTATAAAACCAAATTCAATGTATTAAAAAAAACTTTATTTTTCTAGTCACATTTATTTCAATTTAAGAGATGTATCACTATATTTTAGTAAAAGGGTTGATCAAAGTTTGTGGCTTAGCTTAACTTGTTAGGAAAATGAATTAAATATATATATATATATATATATCTTTTTTTTTTTTGAGACAGAGTCTCACTCTGTTGCCCAGGCTAGAGTGGCATGGCATCAGCTTAGCTCACAGCAACTTCAAACTCCTGGGTTCAAGCCATCCTCCTGCCTCAGCCTCCCGGATAGCTGGGACTACAGGCATGTGCCACCATGCCTGGCTAATTTTTTCTATATATTTTTAGTTGTCCAGCTAATTTCATTCTATTTTTTTAGTAGAGACAGGGTCTCACTCTTGCTCAGGCTGATCTCAAATTCCTGAGCTCAAACAACCCTCCCACCTTGGCCTCCCAGAGTGCTAGAATTACAGGCATGAGCCACCTCACCAGGCCTGATTTAAATATTTAATGCTCTTTTACCTAAATTGTTGCTGCCCCTTGTCATGCTAGTCCTGCTGTGCTTAAAAGTTACTGGACTGTCAGCCTAGCTAATTATGTTCTAAAGCTGAGTCATTGGCACCAAAGATGATCTGGTACAGACATTATGGGTAGGTGGCTGATGTATCTCCCTTCTCACTTAAAAAAAAGGCTATTCTAACCAGCTAGAACTGACAGTGTAGCAGTGTTATTCTCCTATACAAAAGAACTATAAATTGTAGAAGTGTGTGGTTTTTAAAAAGTGGTTTTAGAAGTTTTTAAATAAGGAACTATTTCTCTCATTCACTTATTCAGTATAGTATAGCCCAATATGCTTAATAGCTGAATCTGAAACAGTAACATTAACTATTTTACTTTGTTCCTCATAAATAAATACTTTGCGAAGGCAAACTCCCTCACACTTAAGGTCCTTTTCACAGTATACCATTAAAAGTTTCATTCTTTAAATGTACCCTCAGCGTTGATCTGAGGTTCAAACCGCTCCATCGTGACAGCTGATAAATCCTCAGGTTCTAGACTCCAAACGCCGACTCCTTCTGCTGCCCCCGCTGCCATGGCAGCGCCCAGCGCAGTGGTTTCAGGCATTGAGGGCTTCACTGAGGGGAGAGAGCTACATCAACATCTTTGCAGTTATATATGCTAAAGAACTAGTTATTCAGAAAGAAATATTACTCTGCGAGTTTAAAGGAAGGAAGGCTTACTAACCTACTGGAATATACAGAATGTCTGCTTGTAGCTGCATAAGAATTTTGTTGCAGGTCATTCCTCCATCTACCTGCAAATGACTGAGTGGAATTCCACAGTCCCGATTCATGGCATCCAAAATCTTAAATAAACCAATGCAATTAATGTTATGAGACTACTTCACAATAATATGTTTGAAAATGGTAATCATCCACTCCGAAAATCTCAAAAGCTTCTGACAACTTATCCCCATGGATATATACAAATAAAAAAAATAAATAGAGGGAGAAAAAGAGCTTCTGATAGCCTACAGAATAAAATGGAAAGTTCTTATTCTGGTCTTCCCCGCCCTCCCTGATCCTGGTCACAGCCAACATTTTCTCCCTATACCTCTATATTCACTGATATTCAGCTAAGCCAAACAACTCTATTTTGCACCCCATTTTCCTGCCGTGATACCTATGTTTGTGCCATTTCCTTTGTTTAATATGTACCACTCAGCCTCTCCCCAACCATAAAATGCTCAGTGCCTGGCAAAGAATAGGAACTTAGAAGCTAATGACAGCTGAAAGGGGTGGTGGTGGGGAAATACTTATATTTAGATTAGTGCTTAGACAGGTTTAAGTTTTGATTAACTACATTTTCAGTATTTAATAAAATCAGGCACTAATATACAATTTGTTTAAGAGTGGTAAAAGTGAGCTAAGTAAAAGAAAACAGGCCCATATTTATTACCTCTCGGGTTTGGAAACAAACAGCTTCTAGTGCAGCAAAAGCAATATGGCATTTATTAGTGAACTGAGTGAGTCCACAGATTATTCTAAAAATAAACACAAAGATTTTCAGATTAGAGAGGTATAAACAAATCACCAATCTGAAGTGTCTCAAATATGGAAAGGTCAAATTTGGTAGACAGAAATGTCCAGGAAAAGAAAACTGGACATAATCATTAAGTAACTCAGAAAGTCCTTATAGTCCACAATCCTGCATCCACATACAAAAAAGTTCACGATCCATCTGAATAAATGACACTAACATAAAACCAATCTAGCATTCCAGTATTCATTTAGATAATGCCCCTTTGCTATATAACTTGCAGACACCTTAAAGATAAAAGACAATAACACTAAAACGAAAATGGATACGGCAGTGGTTATTGTCAGATGATTTGTAACTTCTTGGAACTTAAGAGTTCTGAAATTCTATTCTCTGAATAGAAAAGGTTTTCGCAACACTTTAAAATCATTTGAAAATACATAGGAAACTAATTAGTCATTCACTACTTTAGTAAATAAATCAGGACCTCAAAAGACACAGTATTTTCAATACTTACCCTCTTGCACTGGGATCCCAATAAGGTGCATATAACCCTGAAAATGCTGGGACGAAGTAGCAGCCATAAGAAGTACCTACTTCTTTAGCAAGTTTTTCTAAGATTTAAAAAAGGAAAAACAAAAAAAAAAATTCACACTAATATCCTACTTCATTAAATAAACATACCTATTTTAAAATTAGGACAGGGATTTTAGTTTCTGATTCATTGATAAAAGTATATAGCTAATTACAATATGCTAGGAGCAACAAAAACAAGTTTCCCCACATTAAACACCCCCACTAACATGTAACCCAGTTCAAGAAATCAAGAAACTGGATTAATTTCTTTAGATCAGGGGTCCTCAAACTTTTTAAACAAGGAGCCAGTTCACTGTCCCTCAGACTGTTGGAGAGCGCGCACTGTGGGCCCGGCAAAAACACCCGGAGGGCCAGATAAATGTGCTGAGTGGCCTGCACGTGGCCCGCAGGCCGTAGTTTGAGGACACCTGCTTTAGGTAGTTTATGTCATTTCCATTATTTTGATGAAAAAGTGGCCTCTAGTGTGTTCCAAATCAGAAATGTATTTCTGATTGTCTCACCTTCAGGCAAAGTTAAACAAGTGGATAAAAGAGTAGTTATGTTCAAACCAATTATCCATAGACTGAAAATAGCCATATTAATACTTAAATTAAAGGTACCAGAGTTTTAATGCTCACTCTAATCTAGGAGTTAAAGCTCCTTCTCGTCAGATAAATTTAACTAGAGTACTTTACCTGCAGATTCTGGCAATCTCCAGAGTTCAATTTTACACTTGGGTAATTTTTATGTCCTACCTTGCCAGTTTATTAATAACTACCACTAATAATATCAATTCATTGTTTTATAAATCTTCACAAAATAGTCTTCTCTGTATAAGTCAAACTCATAATAAGGATCCATATAATTTATGGATCACACTCAGGCCAAAGCATTAAGTATTTACAGATGGCAAAGATAAAATATTGAAAGGTTTCATTCTTTAGATTTCCTAACCCTTTCTTAGAACATACTCACCAATTTCTTCTGAGGTCTTTATAATTCCAAGATTGTCTTTTAGCCAGCGAGTAACAGCACCAGCTATAGCTACAGAACCCTAAAGGAAAAAAGGAACCCAAGATACAATGTATGTTATCACTAAAAAGTGGTTTTATTGAGCATATTCAGTGTATTACACACCAGATATATAAAATTCCAATAATTTCAATTTTGGGACTCCTACAAATATGATAAACTAGATATGCTAATATAAACATAGTTTTATCTAGGTCACTAATAAAATTTTCCATGGCAATGAGAAGTGAGCCCTCCTACACACCCTTGGACCTGTCTTCATAGGTGGACTTTGATTGGTTGAGCATTTTGCTTTTTATACAATTTTTCTGTCTATTGCTGAAGCTACTGAGGTATATTATTACCTAAAATACATCCCCAACTTACTCACAAAGTTACTGGGAGAGGTCACATTAAAAGTTTTTTCAAGTCCATTTCCCATATCCAATAGTATAGTAAATCAAGCAAAGAAAACGTTAGCAAAAAACCTAGGTACTAAGTAATTTTGCTTTAAAACAAAATCACCAAGGGATTGCACAGGGTTGCGGGGAGGCAAATGTGTGGCAGTAAGGATGAAAACATATGACTCAGGGTCAGATAAACTGGGTTTGCGTCTCAGTTCTAGTACTTAGTTGCTATGTGATCTCAGGAAAGTTACTTAGGGTTTCTGAGCTTCTATTTCTTCACCTATAAAATGATGGTGACTATAACAATACTTATTTAAACAAACTACTGTGAGGCTCAATATGAGAATATATGTGAGGGCTCTTACTAAATGTAAATATTAATTCCATTAATTTTTCAGTGTTAAAATTTCTATCGAACGATGAATGGATAAAATGTAGTTATGTCCACAAATGGAATATTATTTGGCCATGAGAAGGAATTATGTACTAATCCATGCTACAACATGGATGAGCCTTAAAAATATTATGCAAAGAAGACAGGCACAAAAAAACCATATGACTCCAGTTATATGAAATGTCCAGAATAGGCAAATCCATAGAGAGAGAAAGTAGATTAGTGGTTGCCTAGGGCTGACAGGAGGAGGTTATGGAGTTTCTCATTAGGTTGATGACAATATTCTAAAGTTAGATTGCGGTGATGGCTGCAAAAATCTGTTCATATAGCATACTAAAAATCATTGACCTGTGTACTTTAAAAGGGTAAATTGTGTGGCATATGAATTATATCTCAATATAACTATTATATTAATAAAAAGATCCTGAGGGCAAAAAACGTATCAGCACAAACCATTAGGAATTCCACTCCCCCAAATTTTTGGTTCTGATGTTTCATTCATATATATTACTCATGTAAATTACTTCCACAGAGACACCCCAAACCAAACATCAGGTGATATTAAACATAGGAACCTATCTGTAATTGTATTAACTGAATTACAAACGGGTATGTCTTCTTGCTATTAGTTGTCAGGATATAACCAATATAAAATGAATATGCTGGATACATTCCATCATTCATAGTTTCTATGGAAAGAAGTCACTACATGTTGCTATAAAGTTGCAGAATGCCACAAGTGTTCTATTTATACAGTGGCTTTTTAACTATAAAAAATATTTGAGGAATGAATTTGACGCAGCTGGACAAATATAACAAGGCTTTAAAAATGGGACAAAAACAGGCCGGGTGCGGTAGCTCACGCTTGTAATCCTAGCACTCTGGGAGGTCGAGGCGGGCGGATTGCTCAAGGTCAGAAGTTCGAAACCAGCCTGAGCAAGAGCAAGACCCCCTCTCTACTAAAAATAGAAAGAAATTAATTAGCCAACTAAAAATATATAGAAAAATTAGCCAGGCATGGTGGCACGTGCCTGTAGTCCCAGCTACTTGGGAGCGTGAGGCAGGAGGATTGCTTGAGCCCAGGAGTTTGAGGTTGCTGTGAGCTAGGCTGACGCCATGGCACTCTAGCCAGGGCAAAAGAGTGAGACTTTGCTTAAAAAAAAAAAAAAAAAAGACAAAAACAATTCAACACATAGTTCCTTACAATTCTAATAGATCTTGCCCTCCCCACCCCCCAAAAGAAGTCCTTAATACACTTCCCAACTTTGATATGTTTACATATTTAGGTGCTTCATGGACCACTTAGGAGAACTAAGTTAGTTTTTGGTTTAGAGAGGCTTAAGAACTTTATTCTCAAATTTCCTTTGGAAACAGACAATTCACAGATATTAATAGTAGCTGCCAAACACTAGTCAACATATAAGTTTCTATACATTTCCAGTGCCTCCAACAGAAATATAAAATGAGCTCTATATGTAATTTAAATATTTGCCACATTAAAAAAGTAAAAAGAAATAGGTAAAGTTAATTATATTTTATTTAATCCAATATATTAAAAATATCATTTCAACATATAATCAATACTAAAATTGAGATTTTTTGTACTAAGTTTTGAAATCTGTATATACTTTACACATACAGCTCATTTCAATTCAGACTAGCCACATTTCCAGTGCTCGATAGCTGCATGTGGCTAGTAGCTACCCTATTGGGTAGCACCATTCTAGACCTAATTGAAAAAAAAACCAGGTGTCCCTTCTTATACTCTCAAAAGACACGGTCTCTAAATGGCATCTAACCAAGAAATGTGCATATTTTCAATAGTTTTGGGTGAGTAGAGCTAAATTATGAATTCTAAAAAGCTACTGTGCTAGAAGTCTAGTAGAGTGGTTTTATGACTATCAGCTAGTGGGACTTTATACTTTCGGAAACCAAATGTTGATATACCTCATTTCCATTGAAAAGCGTAAGATGCTGCATGCTTAGACCACATATTTGAGAAGAAGCAATATGGTTCTAGTCAAAGGAAAATTAAGGTTTCGATCATAGGTAACTGGTTGAGAATTAGCACTATCTAAATTAAAACAAAAGAAAAAATACAGAGCCACTGCCAAAGCTCCAGAGAAATTATTTTAAATTTTGTCATCAGGAATGTACCAGAGTGTTTTGTTGTGATTGAAGACACAGATCCAACATAACAAAATAAAAGGAAATAAAAACACTTATCTGAAAGAAGTATATAATTTTGGCATCAGGATATAATACATGGTATGCTTTTAGCCTTTAAAGAAATTAATGAAAATGAGAGAAACCTCCAAATTCCAAAAAGACATGTAGCCGCCTGAATTCAGAGGCAGAAGATAAAATAGAAGATGGTATAATGCTTCAAAGCTGGGCAGGAAAAGAATACACGAACAGAAACTTAAAATGATAGATAGAAGGTGACTGTCTACTTGTTATCAATTAAGTTGCCATAAATTATATCCTAAATATAAAGTTCTAATATTTTAATGCATCATCTACAAATACGAATCAGCCCTAGTTCCAAGTCAGTATTCTCTGGGAAAGGTGCATGCAAGCCTAATAGTTGCACTCCAAGGAAGATGCAATGGAAAGGAGAGGGTATATAGAAGAGAAAATTAAATGGTAATAGGATAAAAGGAATAAATTATTTAAAAAGTAGACATATAGCCTAGAAAGTGAAAGGCTAAGAAATAGGCCACAGGATGATTGAATTAAAAATAATCAAGTAGATCTGATATAATGTCATAGCAGGCAAATATACTCCTCCTCAAAGGCCCTTGAACATGAATGCCACTGCTACAAATAGTATAAATATAAAATAGGAGAGTTTGTGATACAGTGGAGTTGTATCTTACAGGGCAGTTAGGGTTAACATTGGTGAGTATGCAGAAAAATCATATTTAAAATAAAGAGTATCCTTATATTGCTTAAAATCATCCATTAGGCATAGTAAACATAGTTTGGTGTATACTGCAGTACTATGTATCTCTACATATATAGTTTATAGTATAGTTAATTTGTATATATTATTTAGATTATAAACACAAAGTCAAACTCTACAGCATTTTTAATTGCATAGAGAAAGGGAATACAGAGTTGAGTTGGGGCAATATTATTTTGAAATATATTTCATTAATATTTCAGCAACAAGTTAGGGAATTAAAATTAAAAGCATTTATTGCTCAGAATGTACACTTCTCCAGAAAGTACATTATAAAAGTCCATAAACAATGTTTGTAGGCTGTGGCAGACAGACTTTTAATTAAGGTGGCTCCCATGATCCCCAGCTCCTGGTATGTATACCCTTGCATGATCTCCTCCCCTAGAGTATGGTGAAACCTGTGACTTTCTTTTAACCAATAGTACACGTCAAAAGTGACAGGATGTGAGTGATGATTTTATATAAGATTTTTGCACCTATCTTGCTGGACATTCTCCCTCTCTTGCTGACTTTGAGGAAGCAGAGGGCCATGTTGGGGGGCCCCATGTGGCAAGGAGCTGCAGGTGGCCTTTAGGAGCTGATGGTGGTCACTGTCGGGCAGGTAGCAAGAAACTGAAACTCTCAGTCCTATAACCACAAGGAACTGAATTCTGCCAATAACCTGAATGAGCCTGGAAGCAGATTAAACCTCAGACTCTGAGCAGGGTACCTAGGTAAGCTGTGCCTGGACTCGAGACCCATGGAAACTGAGAGATAATAAATATGTGTTGTTTTTAAGCCACTAACTTGGAGATAATATTTTTATATAGCAATAGATATCTACTACATAGGCTTACACCGAAAATGTAGTATCTAGCTCAAGAAGGATAAAAAACTCTAAAAAGGAAATCTTAACACTATAATCAACAATCACACCAAAGAAGAGACGGAGGAAGAAACATTTAAAAAACCAAGGGGGGCCGGGCGTGGTGGCTCATGCCTATAATCCTAGCACTCGGGGAGGCCGAGGCTGGCGGGATCGCTCAAAGTCAGGAGTTCCAAACTAGCCTGAGCTATAGTGAGACTCTGTTTCTACTAAAAATAGAAAGAAATTAATTGGCCAACTAAAAATATATAGAAAACATTAGCCGGGCATGGTGGCGCATGCCTGTAGTCCCAGCTACTTGGGAGGCTGAGGCAGAAAGATCACTTGAGCCCAAGAGTTGGAGGTTGCTGTGAGCTAGACTGATGCCACGGCACTCTAGCCGAGGCAACAGAGTGAGACTCTGTCTCAAAAA